GTCTCAAACTCTGGGGCTTTGTCGGCGTAAGCAATCTTGATCTTCTTCAATCCTTTGAAGTGGTTTATTGCATTGACCACGTCCTTGGTAAACCTCTCTTTCGACGGATAGGCCCATATGACGCCTGTGTACCTGTCACGAATGACGAAGATCTCTCGATCAGTACTGATCCCTTGATCAAGGATGTTCCTCGTATCGACAAAATCAAAGGTAACCAGATCTCCAAAAGCTTTGAGCTTTCTCTTGAACGCTCCTCGATGCGTCTTGAAGTGTTTCATCTTTGCTCTGATGCATGACTCACAATAGGGATTCTTGTAACGATGTGTGAGTAGATGCTCGATTTTCCTGGCATCTGCTTTCAGAGTTCCTCTTCTCACCATTCTACTTGCACCGTCAACAACATCCACCTCGATGTCATCTGCATCATCATCGTCAGCTTCTGGTTCACTGTCTCCGGCGACATCTGATCCTACCTCATCTTCTTCTCCCGGAGATGCCTTGAACTTCTTATTCCTCTTTCGCCTTTTGACTTTTGGAGGCTCAATCACAGGAAGGTCGTCATCATCACACATGATTCCTTGAGGATCCACATCACAGTTGATGAAAGTCGATTGGTAATCAGCTTCATCTTCTTCTAGGGTGAACCTTGCGATCATCTCCGCCCTTGTATCGTCGGTGGGAGTACAGAAGTCACTGCCCTTGACAATATATGGGATGTTTCCCTCTACTTCTAACATGATTTTCTTGTAGTTCGGGGAAACCATGTACGGGTTGCCGCAGGCTGGCCATATGAATGTGTATCCTTCCTCCATGCATTTCTTTCCAACAGACAGTACTGAAGGAGACTCATCTAGGACGAATGGGGAGTAGGTAGAGTCAAATTCGTCGAAATGAATGTCGGCGACTCCTTTTGTGGATGTCACTCCATTTGCAGTATAGAATGACATTGATTGGTCGCTTTCTCTCACTTCCAGACCTAATTTCTTGGCTCTGCCTTTCGATATCAAATCATATCCACATCCTGTGTCCATGATGAACTTCGTTCTTGACCCTTTGGCTGGAATAGACAATGTCTTTGTGTCTGCATGATCTTTCTTTCCCTCGCATACATGAGGAATGACTTTATGATGGAAAACTAGGCCGTCATCTTCGTCAAAAGACATAGTGACCGATAGGTCACCCTTTGGTCCAACTGGTATTCGGACCCTCTTGATCTCAGTGTAGGGGACCATCAATATGCCTCTCGCCTCTGCGACCTTTTCTTCAAATCTGATTTGTTCTTTCCTCGTGTAGCAGGTGAGCTCTTTCTCATCGTATCGTTTGATGTCTGGACGTAGAGGTTTCCTTTCTACTACCTTCCATTTGTTCCTGACTGAGTAGATCGCTTCGTTCAACATGATCTCACAAGTCTCTTCATCAAAGGATACTTTTGCACCTCCTTCTCTTGCCTTGGCGGATGCAGCAATCCCTTCATCTTCGGATTCGTCCATGAAGAGTTCACCGTCAATGGCTGGGGCTCCAGGCTTCGCCTTAGGCTTCGGTTTGGGTTTTGCCTTGGGCTTTGGCCTATCGTCTCCTGAGTCAGCTGGTGCAGATATCCCTTTCTTAGGAGAGGCTTTTGGGTCATGGTAGAACTTGCAATCCTTCCCTTTGTCACAAGTTCCTCGAATCCACATCCAACATACTGGCTTGTCATTCTTTCCGACAGAAGATCCTCTGGATGGTGATCTGGGTTTCTTGTGACTGAATGGGCAATCTTTCCCCATAGTGCAGTTACCTTTCACGAAGTATTTGCATGGTATCTTCTTCTTGTCTGTACTCGGACTTCGGCTGCGATCCTTTCCATCACCTTTACCTTTCCCCTTTCCCTTTTTGTTCTTGTCTTCAGGATGCTTCTTGGGATTGGGTTTCGGCTTCACTGCAGCAGCGTCTTCTGAGACAACCTGTTCTTGTTGCCCTTTTGGTTTCTTCTTCGGATCAGCTGGTGCAGCTTTCAGTTTTGGAGCAGGTCCGCCTGGTTTGAGATTCTGAAAGATATTGGCCACATTCTTCACTGCCTTCTCCTTTTCCAGGATCATCCTGTCTTCAGTTTGCCGTTCGATGTGCCTTCTGATCATATCACGTAGATGTTTGTATGTCTTCTTGGCATCATCGTCGTTCATGCTGTTGTAGGCGCTGATGTCGTATGCCATGAGGTTTGAGTTCCTGATCTTTCTCCATAGGAGATCCCGAAGAGTTTCGTCGCTCGGGACGTCAACGGGCTTCATTCCTGCCAGAATCTCATCCCAAGTGTGGAAGAACAACGATAAGTTCTTGTCTCCTTGATATTCTAGTTGGTAGAGGTGCATTGAAGTATATAAGACTTCCACATTTGATGTTGTCTTGAAATTCATAAGGATCAGGGCTAGGACCTCTCTTCCCTTTATGAGGCTTGATGTTCTCCCTTTTGCATTGATCCTCGTCCTCAACTTCATAGCTACACCTGAACCATCATCTTTCGCATCCATGCCGACCTTGGTAAGAGCTAGGCCGAGTTTGGCATCGATTGAATGGAATCTTTGGTCTCCTGAGTCGACAAACTTGTCCGGATCAGGATCGTCCATGGCTTCTTTGATCCAGTCGATCCAGGGCTCTTGATCTGAATCATTGGCCGCAATGATGATCGATTGAATGAGATTTGCCTTCCATAGTCCAAGATCATTGATCCTGGGCCATGACGGAACGTTTATCTTTGATTCTTCCTTCCTCGATACTTTCATGATTGTAGAGGTTGCCGGTGCAAGATGAGATGAAGAGGATGCTTCTGCTTCTGAAATCTTGTCCCTCAATGATTTGTTCGCCTCGGATAGCTCAATTGATTTCTCCCTTTCCTCGGCGTACTCATTGTGGGTTTCGGCATACCATTCATACATCTCATCTCGGCTCTCTGTCATTTTATTGTACCCGTCCTTGTAGTGCTTCGCCTCCTCTTTTGCGTTCCGAATCTCATCTTCCTCGGACGCGTGGGTTGGTAACCCGCGGTCTCTGGAACTAGGACGCTTGCTGTACCGAGAGACTATGGGTGCCATTCGTGCTTCTGCTTTTAATTTCGCATTTTCCATAATGACATTCTTTGTCTCCTTCTGGCTTTCCAATAGTGCATTCTCCAGTTCTCTGATCTTCTGTTGAATTTCAGCACCATCATCGCCGAACATAGGAGCTCTCATCATATTCTCTCTTTTCAGCTGTGCGTTGGCTTCGGATAGAGCGAGGTTGGCGTCTTTCAACTGTTGTCGTTCACGGATGGAACCTTCTAGGACTTCGTTGTTGAATATTTCTCCTTTTGCAATAACCTCCTTTGCGACGTTTGCTTCGTATTCATGGTGGCTCGCCTTCATTTCTGCCATTTCTTTAGCAGAGACTTCAGTCTGGCATACAAACATCTCCATCCTCATGCCCACTTCCATCTCTCCTATCTCCGCTCTCGCGTTGAGTTCAGCTCCACGTGCCATAGCTAGTTGACCTCGTAGATGATCAATAACCATAGCTTCCTGATTGCTCTGATCTTGAGATGAGTGAACACTGTGTTGAAGACGTCTTTCCCTGACCTCACTGTTCCATTGTTCTTCTCTCTGGTGTTGGATCACCTCGTGCATGTTGACATTCTCATCCTGTAGCGCAATCATTCTAGCTTGTATCTGGTTAGCTATTCCGACGAAGGCTGTGTTCTCATCCTGAATGGCTTTTGATCTTCTATTGATCGCCAATGAAGATTCATTCTGTTCTTGGATGTGTCCAATTGCTGCTTGAAGCTCTTGGGACATTCTGTCCTTCGTTGCTTTCACAGATTCAAGCTCTGAATGTTCTTGATGAGTTTCTTGCGCAAGCTCTTGATATCTCATGTAGATATGTTCAGCTGTCGATTCCGCCAAGCGTAGCTTGTGTTCGAGCTCTTCAATTCTTATTGTCGCTCCTTCATCTTCCTGTGTCATCTTTTGTAGATGTTCCTGCATCTTCCTGTTGTAGTCAGACATTTGCCTGAACTCCACTTCAGCCTCGTGGTGTAGTCGTGAGTATCCGGCTTGGATGCATTCATATTCTTCATGAAGAAAATTGTATGCGTTTCTCGCCGATCTCAATTCTTCACCCAGCTGAATCTCTCTTCTTTGCTCTTTTGTTCCTCTATCATCGTCACGTCTCTTCTCTATACTCCTTCTTGGGGATTTCGCGGTAGACGTTATAGGCGATGTAGATCTTGTTGTAGCTCTCATCGATCTTCTTGGTCCTACGGGTGCAAGATCGGTCAGATTCCGAGCCGGTGGCACGGATCTTTCCGAGATTTGTGATCCAGTAGGCATAGTGATAACGTCAGCATTTGCTGATGAATCAGTACCCATTGTAGAGTCTGGTGACGAAATGGTGTTGGGACCACCAGGAGCAGCGAATGAATAGGGTTCGCTTCCATTTCCTCCTGAGCTTGACATTGCAGGTTTCTGTAATGACTAGTCTTGTTCTTGGTCTCGTGTAGCTCGTACGGCTATAAAGAGCGCGTACGGCTGATAACCTGCGAGTGGATCTTAATCAGCGAAGTTTGAAGCTATCACTGACGGTCCATAAGCGGCGTAGCGTCGGAACGGAAACCGCACCTTTTCTAGTCGCTTGATCCTTGAGCCAAAGTACATATGGTACATATATATGTACAAGTTGCACTGTACGTGTCGCTGCACTTCCATTCGCAAAAACTGTATCCTAAATGTCCGAAGCGCACTCAAGCTGTCCCTCATCGACTTTAGACCCATCCCTTTTCCTGCCCTTTCCCCTTTCATCCTAGTAGCGTCCGTTGCTCCTAGTAGGCCAGGAGCCCCTAGTAGCTCCTTGTTCCTAGTAGCGATGCCAGGAGCCCCTAGTAGCGTCTTTGCTCCTAGTAGCGATGCCCTTTGCTCCTAGTAGCTTCCTCTTTCCTTTCAAACATGTCGTCAAAAAAGGTCAAACATGTCGTTTGCGTTTCTGAGCAGTGGCTCTCGCATCGCTTCAGACTCGTCATGCGCGTGGGCAAACACCCTCGGCTTTGAGCAGCTCGTTTCTCAACAGGAAGAATAGCCTCCTTTACTACTGTACTAGCGTGGCACTTGTTTCTAATAGCTTCTTGTTACTACTAGTAAGGCACTTGTATCTACTAGCATGGCACGTGTTTCTACTAGCAAACATTGTTACTACTAGTAAGGCACTTGTTACTAGAAGCGATGCACTTGTTACTCGTAGCTTCTTGTTGTTCCAAATGATGTACACTGTATCGGACTGTTCTAGAAGTGCGATCGTAGCATCCATTGTCCTGATCTTGCCAGGCTACGTCCGCTTCACACTCTTCCTGCGGTTTGCCACAACTGGAGCCTCCTGAGGCACGAATCTGAACACAACTTGTGCGGCCTTTGACCCTCGTGTTCTTTCGACCGTTTCGACCGTTTCGTTCCTTTTTCTTTGTTCGTGTCTAAGGCCTCAACAACACAACGCTACATAGCGTTGAACAAAACATCTCGATAAAAAACGTCTGGCACCTCGCGAACGCTCTTCCGCCGTTCTCCTTCGGGCTTGGTCTCCTCCTGTCCAAAATGAGAAGCTACTGGGAAGAAAGGGCATCGCTACTAGGAGCAAGAAGCGACTAGGAACAAGAAGCTATTCGCTACTAGTAACAAGGGCATTACTACTAGCAGCATCTAGTAGTAAGAAGCTACAAAACAATCTCCCTTTGAGTGCCTCCACCCTAGTAGTCATGGCCTCCAACCTAATGGCGATGACCTCCAATTCCTGTGCTTTCCTTTTAGCCCGCCCTTACTTAATTGATTAGGCGCCTACTTAATTGGGGGAGTAACTCGCTACTAGCAATACTTAAGCTTCTACCTACTGGACGGCTTCTTGCAAGAAGGCCTTTCATGAACTTGATGTTTGGAACTAGTAAGTGCTACAGCTACAAGCACCATCGCATGTTCATTTGTTTGCAATAAAATTGCACTGCTTAAGCGTTGTTCGAGATTCCGGCTTTGATAGCAAAAATCAGATACTTAAGTTTCCTTAAAAATCTAGGAACCAAATCAATAGCATGAGCGCTTCTTCCAGGAAGCGTGAGCTAGGAGCAAAGGGCATTGCTACTAGTAACAAGGACGCTACTAGGGGCTGCTGGCCTTACTACTAGGAGCAATGTTCGCTACTGGGAACAAATGTTGCACCAAGTGCTTCCCGCCGTCCTTTCTTTCTTCCTTTTCTCTGAGACTTTCCTTTCTCTTCAGACCATTCTTCCTTTCTATTTTCTGTTGAGACCTGGCTCTCTTCAGACCTTCCTTCTTTCCCTTCTTTTTGATCTTTCCTCGTTATACCTTTCTCCCTATATTCCTTCTTTCTTTAGATCGTTCTTTCTTCCTTTTGGATTGGACCTTTCTTCCTGTTATTCACATTCTCTTTAGAAATTGTGTTCCTTCCTGCGTTGTTTCGGACTTTTCTTCCTTATCTTCCTCTTGCTTTCGGCAGTGCTTCCCTTTTTGCTTCTTTGGAACATGCTTCCTCTTCTCCCTCTATCGTTAAACCTCTCTTCTCTTGTTTTTTTCTTTCTCTGGAGAACCTCTTTTTGGTTCTTCTCTACAGATTCCTTTCCTTCTTTGTGTACATTAGGTTATTACGGTTATTTCCCTTTTGCCTCTTCTTCGTTAACCTCAAGCCCGTGGAAGGCAATCTTAAAATCTCATTTTCGCCCGAAGCTAGAAGGTTGACCCTTCAAAATTCCATTGTGTACGCTATTAGGTCGGAGGCCATCGCTAGTAGGCTGGAGGCCATTGCTTCTAGGTTTCTAAGCAATGTTTTAAGCAAAATTCCGTTGTGCGCGCTCTTATTTGGCCAGTCCTCTGCGCTGGGTCCATTCGACCTTTCAGTAGATCTTTGAGTCACTTGAGTCGATCTTCTTCGGTCCTGTGAGAACTTGAACCCTTCTTTTCAGCAAACATCATCCAGTTTCACAAGTCCGTGTTGTTTCTTTCATTGCTTCTAGGTTGGAGGCCATTGCTATTACATTGGAGGCCATTGCTATTAGGTTTCTGTTTTAAAAAAGGGAATCGACTGGCTTGACTCCTCCATCTCCTGACTGATGCCAAGCCCGCCGCCTGGGCCGCCTGGGCCGCCTGGGCCTTTGCGTGACCTTCCGCTGATCCGGGTGGATTGGCGTCTCAAGGCGGCCATCCGCATTTGCCCCTGCGAGCGTAGCGATGGCCTCCAACCTACTAGCGATGGCCTTCAACCAGCCATGAAAGAAACAAAAAGGATGGCCTTCATTTTACTTATGTACAAGATTGAAAGAGCTGTCTCAATGAAAAGCGTCTTTTTCTTGTTCCAAGTTTTGTGCGGCCAGCGAACGTAGCACTAAGGTAGTGTCTAGAAAGCATGGGTTAAAGAAAGCATTGCAAGCCTGCAGTGATGCTGCTAAAACATGCTAAAACATGCTGAATCGAAAGAAGCCTCCTGTGGTAGTCACTGGTGTTTGCAAACAAGAACGCTTGCCGATCGCTACTTCATTATCTGAACAAACAAAATTCGCATTCGCAGCAAATCCTGCATGATCTCCAAGTCCCTGTTTCTGGAAGCTACCTGCAAGTCCCATCAAGCGCTCACAAAAACACCAGTACGGGCTCTCGAAAGAGCAAGTAGGTCAGGCTGGAGGCCGTTGCTATTAGGTTGGAGGCCATCGCTAGTAGGAACAAGAAGCTACTAGGGGCTCCTGGCATCGCTACTAGGAGCAAGAACGCTACTAGGGGCTGCTGGCATCGCTACTAGGAGCAAGAACGCTACTAGGGTGGAGGCCATCGCTAGGTTGGAGGAGTGGCCATTGTTTTTGTTCGCGAAAGCCCTGCCTTTTTCGGCCGGTCTCCCTGGCAAGCGCTTGAGCTTGAAGTCTGAACACATGGATGCAATGAAAATTGACGTCGTGATGTCTGTTCGATTCAAAAGAAACTAGTAGCTTCTTATTACTACTAGTAAGGCACTTGTTACTACTAGTAAGGCACTTGTTACTAGAAGCGATGCACTTGTTACTACTAGTTAGGAGCAAGTTGGACAAGCACTGGGTGGCCACTTTTTCTCCTTTCTTTCGCTACATGAAATCCGTGTCTGTTGGTTCCCCGCAATCTTGCTGAGTCCCCGGGCCCTCTCGATGCCACTCATGCTGGTGGAGCTTGCAGGACTATATCCGCTCATTTGCGAAACTTCCGACTGATATTCGTTGGGCCTTGAGCTGTGACGTAAGGAGAAGGAACAAACTGGGTTGTGGACATCTGAGATGGAAGCTTTTAGTTTGTTTTGGACTATATAGACAAATAATTCAACACATATCGTCAATGCAAAGAAAAGAAAACGATGATATGACAAGACCAAAGAATCACCTTTACCCTTGGAGATCTTCCCTCTCTGCTGTTGTTCTCATGTTCCCCGTCGGCTTGCATTCAGCTGAGCATCATAAATCCCAACGATACCCTCATGGGTCTCGCAAGAGCAGTCTCGTCCTGAAAATGTTCTGCCGCACTTCTACTCCCACTGCCGATACTCTCGCTTACCGTCCACTCTCACTTCATGTGTTGCTTTACGGTGCCTTGGTCTCCTTGTGGATGGGAGACCTTACCAAGCAAACTGCAGGCCTTCCTTGAGAGAACATACTTTCATCTGAATGCACCAGCCTTTTTTGCTCTGGACAATCATCACCTGGTCAACTGATCTTCAGTTGAGTTTCTTAATGCTATGCCACATTTGCCATGCCTGCGGGCGGAATTGGTTGTAATGATGTCCGGGTGTCAATGAGCCTGAGCGCATCAGAGTTTGCGCTTGGGGCTGAGCCTTGAACCCACAATTCACAATTATAGCGACGATGCAAATGAAGAGGGATTAATTTGATTGCTTTTCGACAGGCCCCAACCTCACCTGAATGTATTAAAGTGTTGAGAAGGAAGAACGGGGGGAGTAGGAATATGTGCAGCAGCAGGAAGAGCAACAGCAAGGCTTTCCAATGAAACTTGTACGCAAAGAAAGTTGTGGGAGCAAACTACTAGCAATGGCCTCCAACCTACTAGCGATGGCCTCCAACCTTGAAGCAATGGCCTCCAACCTAATTGCAAGTGGATCATCTAAGAAGGATCAAGAAGGCAGATTGGCTTTGCGCTTTGGCTGTGGTGCAGTTGCTGCAGCCACCTTCGTGGCAAACGCAGGACGCAGGATACAATCCTGCTTTGACGTGCAGATTTTGTGGGGACGTTCACAGATCTTGATCACGGATTAACTGTGATTTCATGGTAGTCGCACGAAATCAGGAAATACACTTTGTACAAAGTGCTGATGCATCACCTTTTGCGAAAGCCTTGCCCATTTCTTTTTGATAACCGTCAAAGCATGTTCTTTTTATGAGGGGTCGTGCCCCAGCCTGCGATAGCGGAGGCCCTTGCTTCCAGGTTGGAGGCCATCGCCAGTAGGTTGGAGGCCATTGCTCTTAGGTTGGAGACCCTACATGGCCATGCTTCATTCTGTTTGTATGGCCAGACGCAACACGACAAAAACGGCGCAGAAGGCGCCGTGTCGAAGGATGGGCGTTTGACCCGTCGGAAGGGTGAAAAGCAATGGCCACTCCTCCTACTAGCGATGGCCTCCACCCTAGTAGCATTCTTGTTCCTAGTAAGGCCAGGAGCCCCTAGTAGCGTCCTTGTTACTACTAGTAAGGCACTTGTTACTAGAAGCGATGCCCTTTGCTTCTAGTAGCGTTCTTGTTCCTAGTAAGGCCAGGAGCCCCTAGTAGCGTCCTTGTTACTACTAGTAAGGCACTTGTTACTAGAAGCGATGCCCTTTGCTTCTAGTAGCGTTCTTGTTCCTAGTAAGGCCAGGAGCCCCTAGTAGCTTCTTGTTACTACTAGTAAGGCACTTGTTACTAGAAGCGATGCACTTGTTACTAGTAGCGTTCTTGTTCCTAGTAGTAAGGCCAGGAGCCCCTAGTAGCTTCTTGTTACTACTAGTAAGGCACTTGTTACTAGAAGCGATGCACTTGTTCCTAGTAGCGTTCTTGTTCCTAGTAAGGCCAGGAGCCCCTAGTAGTTTCTTGTTACTACTAAGGCACTTGTTACTAGAAGCGATGCACTTGTTACTAGTAGCGTTCTTGTTCCTAGTAAGGCCAGGAGCCCCTAGTAGCGTCCGATCGCTCCTACTAATTCTCGCAAAGCTTGCCTGAAGCCAGGTGAAAGATCTCCAGCCTGGCACAATATCGACAAAACTGAGCACTCACCCACAAACCGCCAATATATATTCAGCTCGTGACAAGGCTAGTAGAGCTCTAGGAGCCCCGTTCGTAGCGTCCGATCGCTCCTAGTAGTAAGGCCAGGAGCCCCTAGTAGCGTCCGATCGCTCCTAGTGCCGCAAGGACGCTACTCTTTCGAACTTTCGGCCTTTGAATCCAGGCTCTCGAACTTCTTTTCGATGCGGTCTTGATGATGCTGTAGAAGTTCTGAGCAAGTTCCAACGCATCTGAGCAAGGAGGCTACTAGGGGCTCCTGGCCTTACTACTAGGAACAAGAAGCTACTAGTAGCTCCTGGCATCGCTACTAGGAACAAAGGGCATCGCTACTAGTAGCAAGGAGGCTACTAGGGGCGCTCCTGGATACTACTAGGAACAAGGAGGCTACCCAAACTGATGCAATCCACCAAAACCGATGCGAGCGGACGACCAGTCGAATGGCGCGTGCCTGCAATGCGAGCAAAAAGTCGAGTTTGGGATTCTTCGAGTGCTTCCTGACGCTACGAACGGAGCAATCGGACGCTATTAGTAACAAGTGCATCGCTTCTAGTAACAAGTGCCTTACTAGTAGTAACAAGTGCCACGCTACTAGGAGCTCCTGGCCTTACTTCTAGGAACAATGTTTGCTACTAGCAGCCAAGGGCATCGCTACTAGGAGCAAGGGACGCTACGCTTCCTGACGCTCCGTGCCCTCGAAGTAGGTGCCTACTTCATGAAGTAAGGCTAGTAGCTAGCTATTAGGTAGGACGCAGGCTTAGCTCCCGCTTCAACGGAGCGCTTCCTTGAAGTAGTGCTCGCACTAATCATGTGGTTCCTATGTTTGAAAAAAAACAAACAACAACTCTTCGACCTTCTGTCACTTCTGTCTTCACCCTTCTGTCTCAAGAAACACATCTCCTTGTTGAGCAAAGTGAGGGACGTGCGACTGGACATCACCAGCGTGCAAAGTCCGAGGTTCAATCTCTTTCCAAGAAGGACTAAGACCGTCGGAGTGCTTTTCTGTCTTCCACACAGGGTGGACAAGTTCCGTAGCTTGGGAAGTTCGGCTTTTCGAGGTTCTTGCGCTTTTGAAGGTTGAACAAACGCAATTGATTTGTTGTTGCTTTGAAAGAACGGACATTTGAAGAAAGACACTTCAATTCCAGTAACAATCATCGCTACTAGGTGGGAGGCCATCGCTACTAGTAACAAGGGCATCGCTACTAGTTCTTCTCGGAAAAACATGTCATTCCTCTCGTGTCTCAAGCCTTGGGAGCGGTGCTTTGAGCAAAAGCGTCTGCAGTTCGACAGTTTGCCTCGATGTTGAAGAGTTAAGAAAAGTGTTGTTTGACTTTTACAAGGTGCATCGCTACTAGTAACAAGAAGCTACTAGTAGCAAATTGCTACTAGTAGCTGATGCCCCTGTTACTAGTAGCATTTCTTTGACTAGGGTGCTTTACTGAGGTGAACGAATGAAACAAGATTTGCATCAAAATAAAGACCGCATCAAAAACTGGCTATGTCACTCCCAATTTTGGAGCTCACTTTAAGCGGCCCTTGGTCACTGCTTTTAGCAGCCCATAACCTGGTGACACGCTGATCTCTGAGGAAGTTTTATGGAGAAGACTATATGTTCCGTTCTTGTCAAGTTGATCCTACTAGGAGCAAGAGGACGCTACTAGGGGCTCCTGGCATCGCTACTAGGAGCAAGGACGCTACTAGTAACAAGAAGCTACTAGTTGATCCGGCCAACAAAAACCTCCAGAGAGATCCAACCAAAAACAAAAATTTCGCTCCCAGTTGCAGCGCGGCAATCAGGAGTGCAAGCAATGGTCCACCTGCAATAAGGGTACCACCGTACCACCCACAGACCCACATGTGCACTTAAAACTAGCGTTGGTGAAGAGCAACGTTGAACTGGACAAGGAGGTCGTCTCATGTGCTAGAAAGAAAAGTTCAAAGGTAGGAGAAATAAACAGAAATAGAAATATTAGAATACAAAACAAGGAAACTTGGTTTAGCCGTGTCTAACTTTAAAAGCCCCTAGTACGTAGCCGTTTAGTCCGAAAGAGCGGATTTCAGGGCCAGGCTTTGCGGCGGCCAGGGGACTCCACGAGGTCCATGAGGCCGCAGCTGATCGGGGCCTCAGGTGGAACTGTAACAGCTCCTGGCCTTACTAGGAACAAGTGCATCGCTACTAGGAGCAAAGGGCCTTACTACTAGTAACAAGAAGCTAGTAGAAATAAGAATTAAGTTTAATTAGCATCCAAGGAGGCTACTAGGAGCTTTTTCGCGTGCGCCAGGAGCTACTAGTAGCTTCTTGTTCCGTTCGTAGCGATGCCCGGGGGGGCGATGAGGGTAGGCCGCTGCTAGGACGCAGGATCGGTGTACTGCATTTGGCCACGCAGGCATGCCAAGCAAAACGAAATGCGCCGCTTGTGTGCGCAAACATTTCAATCCCAAAGCTCTTGTGGGAGAAAATTGGTACGCTGAAGAGCCTAGAACGCCTTTTTGGCCATCGCTAGTAGGTTGGAGGCCATCGCTCTAGGTCGGTCAAATGAAAATGATGAGGACGCCAAGCTCTCCCATTCACATCCAGGCAGGGAAGCTGTGCTTGCCGTCCTATGCAGCAGAGTCCGATGGTTTGAGGCGATGCCAAAGTCGCACTACAGAGGACGAAAGAAGCAGAAGAAGCGGAAGAACGAAAAAGAGGAAAAAGGAAGAAAGCTCCGAACGTAGCGTCCTTGCTCCTAGTAGTAAGGCCAGGAGCCCCTAGTAGCGTCCTTAAGGTCTAAAAAGACAAATTAAAGGCAAAAACACAGAAGAGGAAACAAGAACGAAGCTAAACAAACATACACAGGTTCCTCGTGGTTCCTCGTGCTGATCTCCTTTCAAGTCCTCTCCTCCCCGGCTCCTTTCCCTCATCCTTCTAAGCTTAACTTGTACGAAAAAAGGATTCTTCAAAGCCTTCGTCTGGATAATAGCACTTGCTACATCTCACTCGATTTACAAGAGCGCTTCTACTTAAGGTGTTTGGTCTTGGCTTTCACACTTCAAACTGCAAGGAAACTTTCCCTAAAGGCCTTAGGTCTGGAATTTAACAAAACCATATTGCTGTTGTCAATTCCCCACCCATCTCCTGGCAGCAGACCGCTGCACTCTGCACCACCATTTCCATGGACACTGTCCCATAGACATGGACGCATCCGTCCGGCTTCAAGTAGTGCACCACCTAGGAGCGCTGTCTATAAAGAAGAACGAATCAAAAGATCTCTACTTCCCCCATCGCTTTTGGATCCTAAGTGTCATTGATTTTTCTTGTGCTCATACTTGGGATCCTAAGTTTTTTCTTTTTCGAACACTTTAGCTTCCTTAGGTGCGATCTTGCTGCCTTAGGTGTGATCTTTGAAGTCGTTGATTCAGCAACAAAACGAAGTCGTTGATTCAGCAACAAAACGCGCGTTGGTAATCCAGCACCTGTATCAACTACAGGTTCCTCTCGCAGATGGCGCCATAATATGCCATAATCAAAAGTCCCATTTCGGCAGTCCTACAACTCTGGATATGCTCTGACAACCAATGTGGCCAAGAGACACTGGAAGCCTGCTGCCTCACAACTCAAAACTAGTGAGGCATGCATACCAAAAACATTCATTATCAAGCTCGTTCGGGCGAGAAACAGCAACTGTCCTCGTTTGCGAGTGTTGATTGAGGCCCCGAAACAATTTGTTGAGCAAGAAAAATCCATGTATGGACATACTTGGGTAGATACAAAAAGAATGCATAACACTTGGTGAGGTGAAATCTGCAAACTCTCGCTTCTCAAGTGCATCAGCTAGTAACAAGTGCCACGCTACTAGGGGCTCCTGGCCTTACTAGTAGTAACAAGAAGCTACTAGAAACAAGTGCATCGCTTCTAGTAACAAGTGCCTTACTAGTAGTAACAAGAAGCTACTAGAAACAAGTGCATCGCTTCTAGTAACAAGTGCCTTACTAGTAGTAACAAGTGCCACGCTACGAATGGGGCTCCAGGCCCACTCTGTCACCGTGCCTGAGTGATCTTTCCGGTTCAGGATCTGTCATGGTCCCCTGAATCCATCGAATGGGTTGTGGCAGCTTCTCCTCGCCAATCCGGTTGAACTACAAGTCTATATAGTAGCGATGGCCTCCAACCTACACGTAATTAGAACACACAACAGAAGAAATTCAAGTACGTTCTTGTAACACCTATAATCTTAGCCTGAACTATCCCTTGGTGCTAGTGAAAAGATGTGAAAGGCATGCTTTCTTGCAAGCAAAGCGAATGCGGTCCAAGTCCAGCTCCAGCACAGTCAGGTCCTGGTCATCAACGCGTCTTCCATGTGACACAGCAGTGAGAAGACAAATCGGTGAGGGGCATTGAGTCCAAAGCTAAAGCACAAGTGCATGGCCTCCAACCTAATAGCAATGGCCTACAACCTAGTAGCGATGGCCTCCAACCTAGTAGCACAGGTGCTTCCTTTTTCTCTTCTTTTCTCTTTGTTGCCTTCTTCTTTCCTTCCTCTTTGTTTTAATCGTGGTGAGGGGAGTTAAGACCAAAGCCGGTGACATGGCAAGAACGAGTGTACATGTTGACCGCGGCGCAAAAATGACACCATTTAGACGCGTTTCAGACGCTCCTGCCCTGGAAAGAAGCGCTCTGCCACCATCCGAGCGGCAGAAGCATCGCTCAGATGCACAAAGCCGTCCTCGCGTTTGGGCTGAGGTCTGAAACGTGTCGACGAAAGTGTATGAATACTAGGAGCTATTTGGCTCCTAGTGTTATATTTGCTCCTATAGCCTATAGTATCTTTAAAAAAATAAGGGGGGGATAGGCCGCGAGTGGAGGTAGCTAAAAGGTAGCTAGAAGCTAGAGGTAGCTAATAGTAGCGTTTTCGCGCGCGCCGCGCGAGACGGGTAGGCCCCTAGTAGGTAGGTAGCTAGTAGCTAGGGAGTCGCTAGTAGTTTCAATGGCTACTACCGACTGGACGCAGGATAGCTCGCGCTAATGATTTGGTTTCTAGATGTTAAGGGAAACTGAAGGATAGTTGCTATTTGCTCCTAGTAGTAATGCCCTTTGTTACTAGTAGCGATGCCCTTGTTGCTAGTAGCTTCTTGTTACTGGTAGTAATGCCAGGAGCTACTGGTAGCTTCCTGCTCCTATGTATTTTTTGCCCACTCCCTCCCCTCCTCACTTAATTAAGTAGGCGCCTACTTAATTAAGTGAAGGGAGTAAGCTACTAGTATGGACGGGATAGCTCACGCTCGGCGCTCGCACTAATGTTCCTAGTCTTCTTGTGGAGATTCTGCATGATTCAGAAGCTCACTATACAGGTAATACAGGTCACAACAGAAGGTTGCTTAGTTGAGGGAACCAGAAGTCCACATCGAAATGCAAACTGTGCAAACTGCATGAGATGTGCTCAAATCAATTATGAGGAACTTTGTTCTCAAGCACATTGAAGAGGTTGAAGATTAACAAAAAAAAGTTCAAAATTCCTCTTGATTGTTTAAGCCAAAACACCAAGGCAAGGTGTTCAAACTCATCTGCATGTTTCTTGGTTTGTCAAAGCAGTTTCATCTTTGCTTTGTTTCGTCAACACTTCCGGCTGATTGGGTTTAAGCCTCACAAAATGAACGCGCTTGGAGCTTTGACTGAAGACCAAAAAGAAGCATCAGAACCTAGACGTGTGTCATATCAAACAACAGCAAGTTGATAGAAACGATTGTGTCCAAACAGGATAGAATGTTCTTCCTCCGTTGGCACACGTCCGCCTATTTTTAACAAAGAAACGTGAGGACGTAAGGACTGAAAACTAAGGGAACCTACTAGCAATGGCCTCCAACCTAATAGCAATGGCCTCCAACCTGAGAGAGATGGCCTCCAAGCTATTACACAGTCTGCCAACATGCATGAGGCAGATGCGTATTGATGCGCTGTATGGCAGCTGAAAGTGTGGGAGAAGTCACATGCCATCAGAGAGTGCATCATTCTGAGCATGTTTCTTAGTTGGGGGTCCTTTCAAGAGGACTTTTGGAGATAGTTATAGAAGTCCAAGACTCTTTCCTCTATATTTCCTTAGACCTTCAGACGGTTTTTTGTTTAGACCGTTGGATCATTCTTTCCTGCGTTCTTTCTTTTTTCTTTCATACAAGTCCTCACCGGTAAGGCTTTTGACATTGCCCAATCGGAAAAAACTGGTAGGTGAAAGACTCCTTCTCATCCAATCCTGACAGCACTTGTTTTTCCTCTTCGAACCTGCCAAGAGATGTCTCTTTATGTCTCACTCTCAACCGTTGGTGTGCCAGCCATTACTATTTGTTCAAACACACAAGGAATAGCAGCTTGAAAGAAAGCCACCCTAGTAGCCATCACCTTCAACCTAAGAGCGAAGGAATAGTAGCTTGAAAGAAAGCCTCTTTAGCCCCAACAAGCACTCCCAAGGCCTCTGGACTTCTGCTGCAGTTGCGAGTTTGAAGACCTCAAATCCAACATTCAAGTCACTGAGTCTTAATCTCGAAAATATGATATGCATTTATATGCATATCTTGTCAGTGTCTTTTTTTGCGGTATTCATATCATCCTTAGATCACTTGACTGAAACATCAACGTTCAAGTCTTCTGTTGGATGGTGAACGACTAGGCCAGGGTTCTGGCTCGCTGCACGCTGGTTAGGCCAGTGATTCCCAGAAAGGCCTCATATGACCAAGCAGGCCACAGATTTCAAAAGGCCAAAAATCGCTTTCCTTCCACGAGCGTCATTAGCGCTACTAGGTTGGAGGCCATCGCTCTTATGTTCCCATAGTTTTCAGTCCTTACGTCCTCACATTTCGTTAGAAGTGAGGAAGAGGCCATCGCTCAGCTAAAGTAGTAACAGGTGCCTTACTAGTAGTAACAAGAAGCTAGTAGTAACAAGTGCCACGCTAGTAGTAACAAAGGTGCCAAAGGTTAGCACCGCTCGAGGATCGCGCGGATCCGTTCCGCTCCATGGGAAAGATGGCCTCGACCACCTCCAGAATATGCGTGGTGTGAGCGAACAAACGACAACCCAAACGCGTTCTTGTGACGATGAGGAAGGAAAGGACCTGAAAGGACCTGAAAGGAACAAAGAAATGCGAGAAAAGAGGTCCAAAGACAAAGGAACATGGAGAAAGGCAAGGACGCAAACACATAATGTATTCTTGTATGAGGGACAGCTCACTTAAGTCCACGACCGATGCATTTCCGCAAAAATCACGGCGGAGCGACAGCAAATCAAGGGTCCTGGCCTTGCTACTAGCAGCAAACAGCTACTAGTAGCGTCCTTGCTCCTAGTAGTAAGGCCAGGAGCCACTAGTAGCGTCCTTGCTCCTAGCAGCGATGCCCTTTGCTAGTAGCAAACATTGCTCCTAGTAGTAATGCCAGGAGCGCCCCTAGTAGCGTCCGGCCAATACGGTGACCAAAAGTGGCCTGCGGATGTATGCCGCCAAAGACATGAGGCCCTCAGCGCTGTTTCAGGTGACGAGGAGCTCAGTAGAGACTGCCTACTTAGTCAGGGAGGTACGGTTACTACCTACAAGTAAGCTAGTAACTGGACGCAGGATAGCTCTTGAGCCCTGACTAATTTGTCCGTCACGGCACTACAAACACGAATGATTCTGCACGCAAGTGCTCGTTTTTGAACGGCCTTGTATGGTCTACCGTTCTATAAGAACATTGCTATCGTTCTCCCAAGAGATCTCCCTCTTGAGAGGGCTCAACTGAGATTCTTGGAGCAGGGCTGCTACCAAAAAAGCCAAACGCCCACCACAAACAAACGAATACAACGGCTTTGGCCTCCAACCTACTAGCGATGGCCTCCAACCTATGTCAAGGTGCATACAAAGGCTTTGGCCTCTGAGCTCACTCCCTTTTCGCCCACGGGCTTGGCCTTCGACTCGAGCAAATCGACGCTTGGGGGGGAAGTACCGGTGGCAGGGTTGGGCGCACAACAGGCACCGGCACCGTAGGCAGAGGGCGTGACGCTGGAGGGAGGCAAGGAAAGCCAGAGTTCTGCGAAAAACGTTTAGCTTCTTGTTCCCAGTAGTAAGGCCAGGAGCCCCTAGTAGCGTTCTTGTTATTAATTAAACCGTTTGTGTTTATAATGCAAACACTTTCAGTGGCACTTTTGTCAGGACGGGCTCAAAACCTGGTGCGTTCATCTAGAAATTCAATCTGAAAGAAACGGATCATGTTCGATATTCCAGACCTAAACAAACCTTCCAGTGTTCCTTCTGATTCTGGGTCACACATGGTTGGGTGGTTGAGCACTGAATTCGTCAACTGGTCGATCTGCGGACGCCATTGCGGTTGACAACGCGATTGATCGAGCGATCCTGCTCATCTCGAGTGATGATGCCCTCAGATCGACTGAAGATGCAACACGTGCCACACATCGAGAAAAGATGTTTTAAGCCCGCTCCTTTTCATTGAAGTAGAGACGACCTACTCAATTAAGTAAGGGGAGAATCTGTATTTTTTAGCTGGGGGGTGTAGACCGTGTAGAGGTGAGGTTAGCTAGGTAGGTAGCTAGTAGAAGCAAACGGTAGCTAGTAGCTCAATAGCTACAGCTTAGGACGCAGGATAACCTCCCCGGCTTCCTTGAAGAAGCGCTCGCACTAATGGTTGGGTTCCTAGATTTTTCAACTTCAGTGCCGTCCAGGGTCCAAACGGAGCAAGGCAGAGCGCCTGAAGCGAAGGCAAATCCAATCACCAGGCACATCCTGGTAGAAATGGTTCGCTACATCCAGCAGTCTCGATGGCACAGCGGTAGCATGGGTGAAGCCATCCTTGTCAAAGGTCGGCGGAAAGTAAGCCTGAGCAATTTTGAGTGGCGATCTCTAATCCAAACCAAAGGGTGGCAAGTGCAACAAAGGGCTACTGTAGTTCAGTAGGCGCGAGGATGACTCGCTTCAACTATTTTGACACTGCAAGGCCTCAGCTCTCTGGAAAACATGCCAAGCACCCCTTGCACTTGCCAGAATGGTGCAAACTAGCACCACGAGAACATGCAATGAAAATGTATGAACAAGAACGCTACTAGGGGCTCCCGGCATCGCTGCTAGTAACAAGAAGGCTACCCGGGGCTCCTGACCTTACTACTAGGAGCGATCGGACGCTACGAATGGGGCTCCTGGCCTTACTACTAGGGGCTCCTGGCCTTACTACTAGGAGCAAGAACGCTACTAAGTTTTTTCAAGTACAAAAGTTGCAAACATGAATCCGCTCCGGATTTCTGCGCTTCCTCCCAGAGGGACGCTTGGCACCTCGAAATCTCAGACCAAATCGTCGAACGTTCACAAGAACTTTTCTTTACACTCTGCTAGATTCAAAAAACGAATCGGTGAATCAGGCGACCCAAAACAAAGCAAGTGCAAGTCGAGTGCAACGCCAAGTGCAACCAAGAATCATATGATACATCACTTCCTCGGGCCACTGCTCAGACAGAAAAGAAAGAACGGGTCCAAAGAAAACGGAACAAGAAGCAAAGGGCATCGCTACTAGTAACGATCGGACGCTACGAACGTAGCCCCCGGCATCGCTACTAGCAACTCAAAAAGAAACTCTAAAAGAACACAGTCCATAAGTGGAACGAAAACAAACGAACTCCAAGCCTGGCACCACATGTCACCACTTTGGTTTTACAGCAAAAACGGCATCCGTTCTGCTCCTTTTTCTTGGGCCTTTACACATCACTAGGAGCAAGGGCATCGCTACTAGTAACAAGTGCCTTACTGGTAGTGACAAGAAGCTACTAGGAGCAAGGGCATCGCTACTAGTAGCTCCTGGCATCGCTACTAGTAACAAGAAGCTACTCGTAACAAAGGGCATCGCTACTAGGAGCAAGGACGCTTCTAGGTTGGAGGCCATCGCAATTTGGTTGGAAGCTATGTGGTTTTGAATGGTTTTGATGTTCTTTCTTTGCGATGTTGCGCTTCAATCTTGGGAGGAACTTTCGCGCAAGCCCCAATCTGTACCCTGTCAATCAAGAATATAAGGTATGGTCGACATACTAGTTGGGAACATCTTTCACACACTTTCACACACTATTTGGTTAGAGGACATCGCAATTAGGTTGGAGGCCATCGCAATTAGGTTGGAAGCTATTTGGTTGGAAGCTATTTGGAAACACTAAACATGTCGGATTTGGCTGCCGAAAATCGGGCGATGGGTCTTCATTGGCACTCAAATATCCACCCGAGCTGCCTTCAACGCGGGCTGCGTCCAAAAAAGTTGGTCTAGACATGTGAAAAGTTCAAAATGCATTAATTTGAATCATAAGAACACTACTAGGAGCAAGAACGCTACTAGGGGCTCCTGGCCTTACTACTAGGAGCAAGGACGCTACGAATGGGGCTCCTGGCCTTACTACTAGGAGCAAGAACGCTACTAGGGGCTCCTGGCCTTACTACTAGGAGCAAGGACGCTACGAATGGGGCTCCTGGCCTTACTACTAGGAGCAAGAACGCTACTAGGGGCTCCTGGCCTTACTACTAGGAGCAAGGACGCTACGAATGGGGCTCCTGGC